TCTGCTGTCCCTGCACTGTGCAGCTGAGATGACAAGTTGTCATTTAAGAAGTTAATAAACAGTCACCATTTTGCAGGTTATCCAAATGCTACTGAATAGAAAACCTTGGATCCCTAAATGATGTGTAATTAAAATTATTTTAAAAATCCTCCTTGACAGGCCAGGGCTTAGCCAAAATGTAAATGACATTAAAGAAGACAATGAATTTAATTTTATTTAATGTCCCTTTTTGCAGATCCTCATTTACATAGCATTTTTAACAAAAGCGTTGACCTTATAAATGCTGGCATTTGTACAGCTTCCGCAGAGTTGGATTTAATCACGCTTTCGCAAAGCCATAAGGGAAAAAGCTTTAAGTTCTCTGGTTGGATATGGAGTAGGAATAAAAACATTGGGACTGGTCAAATGTTTATCCTCCTCGCTTCTGAAAACAACCTGACAAGAAGATGTAAAGGTCTGGGGAATAACCCATTGCTGTTTGTAAGGCTGGGTAATAATCATACATAATCGTTTGGAAATATAGCTAATAAAAAATATAATGAGTGTTCAGCAAAATCGGCATTAGGCCCAAATTACATGATATTAATACTTGAACAGGTGCAGAAAGGCGCTTTAAATGAGGTAAATGAATAAAACGTCCCAGAGCACAACTGTGTGCGCTGACAAAAAGTCAATCACATGAATAATTCAGCGCCCGGCACCGCCAGCAAAGGTCGCTCCCGCTGACCTTTGTGACAGGAAGTGAAAGGAAACACTGGTGCCTAAAAAACCCTCCCATCAGTCTGTGGCCGCTGCTCCGGCACCGCAGCCAAGGTGCAACCCTGCAGCGTGGGTGGGGTGAGGACCCCAGGCAGAGCCACAGTGGGCACCCAGTGGCCGTGCAGAGGTGTGGGATGTGGGCACCATCCACCCCACGCGCAGCCTGAGGTCAGCCCGCAAGTATGCCGGGAGCTGCAGGGCTCGGCAACAGCTGCTGAATATGACAAAACTTCTTATTCCCCCAAACTAAAGCTATTCCAAACTCTGTACGAAAGAAATGGGATAAACAGATGTCTGGCTGCCCGACAGGAAAGTGGGACACACGCGGAATGATAAAGTCTCCAAACCCTGCAGCGCCATGCCAGGTTTGCGGGGAGGGGGCCCTGGCTGCCTGCAGAGGTGCCAGCAGAGCAGGGTAGCGGGGGGACCATCTGGAGGAGCAGTGCAGGGCATGCAAGACATGCTATGGTCCCCGGGCAGCCTGTGCTGCATGTGATGGCTGTAAGTCAGCTGCATGCCACTGCTGCATGAGAGCTGCCTGCCAGCCAGCTGCCCACTGCTGGATGCAAGTTGCATGCAAGTTGCATGCAAGCTGCTCACTGCTGCATGGGAGCTGCATGGGAACTGCATGGAAGCTGCATGAGAGATCCCTGCCAGCAAGCTGCCCATTGCTGCCTGCAGGCTGCCTACTGCAACTGCTGCCTGCCTGCAAACGATCTGCAAGCTGTCCATGAGCTTCTCACTGCTGCCTGCAAGCTGCCTTCCCGCAAGCTGCCCTTCTGCTGCCTGGGAGCTGCCCCTGCCTGCATGCTGCCCCTTCCCCCAAGCTGCCCCATGCCCCACTCCTCCAGCATCGCTCCTCAGCTCTCAACAGTTGGTCACTACGGAGCCAAACAAGGAAAGGAAAAGGCAGGAGGATGTGTCTTCCCAGGAATTTCCATACCTTCCAATAAAACATATCGTGATGGCACGGAGAAATTATTTTAGCACACAGTGTGGTTTTGGTTTAGCAGTTACTGCGGCATCCTGTAATCATTTACAGCCATTGGAATGTATGGGTGAAATAGGATAGATTTATCTGTTCATACTTGTGATATGTAGACAATGGGTGTTCCTAATGAGGAACATCTGCTTTTGTGTTTTCCCAGAAAACATTATTCCACTATGAAAATGATACTCCCATCCTTTTCAGCAACACCGCAAAGAAAATATGGGCCTTTTCCTTTCTTTTATTTGCTTTTCTTTGGGTCAGCCTCATTTCCCAGGGACGCTTTTCCTGCAGCATCTCTTTCCCGACTGCGCTGCACTTTATGGTGGTTTGTTGGTGACTCCGCGCATTGCTGCGCCATGCGAACAGCCCTGATGTGGCAGAGGACACCTCAACGTGCACAGCAGCAAAAGTGTGCACACTCAGCCACGCTGCGTGAGAAAACCACACTGAGGTAAATGGTTCTCAATGAATTAGAAGGTGGGAGGGCAGGCGGTACCGCCGTTGCAAGGCCTTGGTTTTGTTTTCACTCTCAGATCTTACTACAGCATTCACATGTAAGCTTACAGAAGTTTATTTAAAATGCTTTCACTGCTAGCAAATTATTATTCCCAAGGTGCAAAAAAGGTTGTTGGATTTTTTTTTTTTTCCTTTTTTCCCCCATTGCGATAAACCATTGCAACTATCAGAGCGACTCCTGGTGTGGGCTGGAACGAATGGGCGCCCATAGATCTCAATTCAGCACTGAGTTATTGGTTTGTATCCCGAGGACAAAAATGCCTTATCTGGTCAGAAGCTGCTAAATGTGTCCAAAGGACAAAAGGATGAAGCGCGCTGTGTCTGATCCTTCCTTGCAGCCAACTACCGGAGCGGTAACACTTCTTATGGGAAAGTGTAAACCGAGCCAGGGGTCTGCTGGGGGAACGCTGCTCTGCGACGCTCAGGAGGAAACACAAACCCGAAACCCAACACCACCAACCCATGTAGGTAACCAGCTACCAACACGCAGAGCCAGCAAACGTGAATTTGGGGACTTGGAAATACACTCTGGTGGTGTCAGAGGACCGATGCCTGCACAGAGCTTTTCCACACGCGTGCCTTCCTTCTGTGTTCGCTGCAATGCGCTCAGCTGCTGAACGCTGCACTCAAGAGTTGTTTTAAAAGCACATGGTGGGACACAGAGGACCATCCCGAGCCCCTGCTCAGCCCCATGTGTGTGCACAGCCCTGCAACTCTGGCTGCTCTTTGCAAGGCTGCGATATGCGCCATCCTCATAAAAACAAAATCTTGCAAATTCCTAATGTGGAAGGTGATTAAAATTCCTATAAAATTGTCATATCTTCAAATTTAGAAGCACGGCAGATTTTTCATCAATAATTAAGATCTCTAAAGCATTTATGCTAGGCATAAATGGAGTTTCAATCTTCCTTATTCAAATAAACATGATAAACCCATTAACCAAATGTTTTCTGATTTTTTATATCTTCTCATGCTTCTGGAATACCAAACTGTAACGCACTTCTGCTCATTTGGGGGAGGTAGAAAAGCACTGACACTGCATGGCTCGTTCTGATTTTGTTGGGATCACCCCTCGCAGAAGAGACGTAATTTAACTCACGATGACTCTGGAACATTACTATGTATATATCATTATAATCCCTAATCACCGAAAAATGTTATTTGTGCCACATTTCATCGTGCAAACAGACTATAAACACGAACTCCTTGCAAACCACTCAGTGTAGCTCAATAGGCACGAAATGAGCGCTCCGACCATATCTGTAAATTAGAGCCCGACCGAGCACAGAAGAGCAAAACATCCCTCTCATTTTCCTTCCCGGTTAATTTTCATAGCGTTCCGTTGCATTCACACTTTAATGCGATTCACCACTTACGCCCGCAAAAGTCACACATCTCTTGCAAACTCGGAACAATGAGCGCTCCTCTAATCCAATAACGCACTCTGCACCGCTGCCGCTCCTCCACCACACCAACATTCCTCCACTTCCAACTATTTTTCAGCCAACAAAGCAGAAATAAATTCGGCTCGCGAGGCAACAACCCGGCGCTATATGATTTCCATAGCTAAAACACTAAAGGCAAATATAATTCTATTGATTTTTGTAGTCGGAGTTCTATAAAGTGTTGAACTTATTCTCAATTGCCTGACACAATCCCAGAGTGATGGCAACAACTGGTCAGCCCTATTTGATTACTAATAAGAGAGATGTCCCTTCTGTCAGATACCTCACATTCTCCACTAAGCAAACAGCTATTTCAGCTAGTTAAACATTAGCATTGCTCTCCACTGGTGGTGCATATTTCTTTAGGCTTAACTCGCGGAGTTTTCCAGGTTTAATTTTTCAGTCGCTGGACAGCAAAGTTCATGATCAAAAGATAACTTTGTAATGAAAGCTCCTGAAACACGACCTCCTTGCAGACAGACCGGCCCTCTCCTCCCATCCCGGAGTCACACGGATGTGTCTCACTGCCATTTATTACTCTGAGGTACCGATTCCATCATCTACGCTCAATCAGAAATCGACATTTGCTGCTACCACAGCGTTGAAAAAAAAGAATCGCTTCTCCGCTGCCAAAAATATCATCTTTTCCGATTACAATAATGCCAAAGCAGATTGACCTGACACGGGTGGCAAATATTTCTGAAAATATGTTCTTTTGCGACCAAACAGATAAGAGCAGAGCGAAGGATGCGTACGGTTAATCCCGGTATGTAAATGAACGTCGGGCTACGCAACCGGCATGTGTAATCAGTTTCAATTATGACAACTTTGGTTTATTAGGTACATGTTTGCTATTTGACATGAAATGACGGCCGCAAAAAAAAAAAAAAAAAAAAAAAAAAAATCAGGACGCATCTCCCAACTCATTGATAGAGGATTAAATCCATCGCAGCGCCGGGTGACCGTTACAGCGCCGCACCGCCCAGCTCTGACCGAGGGCACCGTCAGCAACAGAAATAATGTAAATACGAAATGCTTGTTAACAAATTAGCAAAAAGCGTTTCGTGACACATCCCTGGCTTTAAAGCCCCAAACTCTCTAGGCATAAAGTGCTCCTCGCTGCGAGAGCGGTGGCAGATGAAACCGCTTCCCCTGACAACTCGCGAGCAATTACCGAATCCCCACAGAGCGAGCCGCCAGGTTGCCGAACCAGCCCACCTGTGCGCTCTGACACGGGGGGACAACGCCACGAAACGCGGCCGGCTGCGGGCCGGCAGAGCCGTCCTTACCTGTCAATGATCACGGGGTCGGAGGGGGTCTCGTTTCTGTTGCCACAACTTTTCTTGTCACAGCATCGGCTGCGGAGCAATTGCAAAGAGCGGGTTTAGGGCGAGCTCTGCGCTCGGGGCTCCGGGTGCTGCTGCCGGGGGGGGGGGG